TCACTAGTCCCTTCACCTGTTTTCTCTTGGCCCTGTACTTTTCCCAACTCTCCTCAGACGCCTCACTCAGGTACTGCTTGAAGACTTCTCTACGTTCCCCTATTTCTTCTTTCAGCTCGTCATCCCACCACTTAACCGATACCCCACATCGTACCACCTTCCTTCCCACTACTCTCTCTGCCGTTGCGTTCACGATGGACTCCCACCCTTCAATCACCCTGTCCCCTGCTGTCTGTACGTCTACCTGTCCGTCTTCGACGCTTCTCAGCAGTTTCCTGAAGGATTCTACACTACCAGCCAGCCCCTTCTGGAAGTGCAGCCGCACTGGGGGGCATTTATTTGTTCGTCTGTTGTTGGAGGCGTACAGATATACTCCATTCACCGATCGTGACGTTCATCGATTGGCGACATGCATGTGTGTATCGCAAGAAATAACTTATTTTGTTCGGTGTCCAATTCGTTCAATCATCAGGTCAATGTACCTGCGCTGCAGAAGATCATGCTGGAGTTTGCGAGGGAGAATGAACGGTCGGAGCTAACAGGGGAGCTAATCGGTGATACTCTCGACGACGCACTTGCCGATGATGGCGATGCGGAGGCAGAAGATAAGATTGTCAGCCAGGTCGGTTCTGGAGCCCATTGTATGAGAGTGCCGGGGTCTCGATTTAATCTAGAATGCGTTGCTGAGACTTGTACCCGTCGGCATCGAATACTGGTGCGTATGCATTCCCATCAACGGTACGCGCGGATGATGTTCTCAGTAAACGTTACCGCCATGAGGCACTACAGTTATATTTTGCCCTGTCACACCCGACAAAGCTTCCAGCATTCCCCGTGTTACCGTGGTCAAAAAGACTAAACACGGAGGTCCGTGCCATGTGCAAGACTTGCTGCAATGAGTCCACAGCATGAAGCCCTTTTGTTTCGAAATGTACGCGATAGAGCGGAGGTGAGTATTTGGCTACATCGCCAAAATGCTGGGGGTGGCGTTCCGAACTATATTTCTCCACACGTGATTACGTAACACGGTTCACATTGCGTGCCGTGCTGCAAACTTACATATGCACTGTCCTCTTCAATGTGTTTCCGATCTGAAATGACTCCATTTTTTTTTTTGACGGATTTTCCGGCTCTCTCAGCGCTCCTACGCCCCTCTCTCGACGCCTGACAACGCAGCGTTGCTTCCCCAAAAACATTCTTCTCGATAAAAGTTCCGATTCTGCGTGGCTCTACAGTGCACATTGCAAGCTTGGTATACTGATGGTGGGCACGCCGCGGGTTGGGCACCCATTTTGATCGACTTCGTGGGCAGACCCTCTCCCATCACTCCCTTGGTTCCCCACCACGCCGTCTTCTCTCGTTGCCGTACGTCCTTACTCGTTCATCATCTGTCTTCCACAACATTCGCTCCATTTTTCCCGTCTGGACGCGTTGACACTGTTTTAGGTATATTCGACTCTTCGCTGACTCGCCACACACTCTCTCCACCTTTCTCTCGCATTTTAGCGATCGACATCCTGAACAGATGGACACCCTTACACCTACCTTTGCCACCAGTTCTCCACCAAGCTCTCTCTGTCTCTCTCCTCGTCAATGTCTGTCGGACCTACCCGTTCATTTGTCGTCGACTGCACACACTGCTGGTATTTTTTTTCTGTCGTTGTCATGGCCTACTACATGCATGCATGCAACGCGTTGATATCGTGTATTGGAAGTATTCCGAGTTTGAACCATCATCAAGAAGACTATCGATTTCTCTTCACTCGGCGGCGGCGCGAAGCGGCAATGATACGAAAATCTACTATTATCATTTAGGGACGCCGGACCACGACAGGGCGCAGTCTGTGTTTTCGTCGTTGATGGCACTCAACCTTCAGTAGTATCAGACAATCAAGGTATAGTTGCTCAGGCAGACAAGGCATTGTTGCGTTCGTCCTCGTTCCGGCCTACATCGGGTATAATACTGTAGATGCATACATGGCGGCCAGGCGGGTGGCGTTCGTCCTCGTTCCGGCCTACATCGGGTCTAATACGGTAGATGCATACATGGCGGCCAGGCGGGTGGCGTTCGTCCTCGTTCCGGCCTACATCGGGTCTAATACGGTAGATGCATACATGGCGGCCAGGCGGGTGGCGTTCGTCCTCGTTCCGGCCTACATCGGGTATAATACTGTAGATGCATACATGGCGGCCACGCGGGTGGCGCCAGTAATAATTGAAGTATAGTCCGTTCTTCCAAATGTAGATACATGTGTAGATGTACCCGACCTCCTCCTGGTGGTCCTGCAATCAAGTACACTCTCCAATCAACACATTGCAACACAGCAGTTGGTCAGCGCACGTTTGACCTACTGCCTGGCCTCTGCACTCCGGATCGATCTTTGCCTAGGAATCGTTCACTTTGGGCGGTGGCGCGAAAGCGCCTAGAACCTTGCATGTAAAATCGCTTCAAATCTCTGCTGCCGTGGACAAACATTCATGTTCAGGTCTTGGATGAGATTGGAGTGTCATTCGACGAGGGGGTACCAGAAGCTCCAACGACTGGAGTGGCGCAAGGGGCTGCCAGTTCGGCGGAAGCGGCTAGACAGCCCGTTGCTGCTGCTGAAGCTGGCGGGGGAGGTGGGGGAGGGCCACAGCCACCAGCACAGCCAGGGGCTGGTGGGGGAGACGCCGGAATGAGCGAACTGGAGGCGCGTCTCAATAACCTACGCCGTGGAACCTAGGACCGCAAACCAACTCCATCTGTCATGCTAAAACGCAGGCAGCATGCGAGCAATGTAACAAGACGGGGTTGTCGAGATCGCCTTCGCCCTAAAGCCCAGCGTAACGCAGACTCGATGGGCTGGTTGAGGTACTTCCTTGACTACGTCTTTCTAGTCTGCGCCCTCCAAATGGTGGCAGTATGTACGGCCTTGGTAGCCTTCCACGGACACCAAAAATAGCCACCGCCAAGGTTTGTGGGCCGACATGCTGTATGCACTATATAGCATGTCTCAACGTGGCCGCCTGCCACGTACTTCCGGGAAGTCCTGCGTCTCCAAGGCCTTTTGGAAGGCATCCGAGTTGCGGTGTTTGGCGATGAACGTGGAGATTTGCCCAATGATACTTTTCTTCATTCTCTGCACAACAACAATGAAGTACACGTGTGTGGGCGAGGGGTGCTCGTGAGTCGGGAGCGAGAATTCGGGAAGACAAATCGGATAAGCTCGAAAGGCAAAATCATGATCAAACTTGCAGGGGGGGGGGGGGGGGGGGT